CATGGGGGCTGGGGGAGGTGATCAGGGGAGACAGGGGAGCTGGGTGGCAGCTCCCTGACTCAGGAGGGAAGTGGTGGATGGGGCTGCTGAGACTCTAAGGGGCCTGGATGTGACAGACAGTCCTGGAAAAATCCCTTGGGGCACTTGAGAGGAGGCTGTGCAGCAGGGCAGGGCTTGGAGGCTGTGTGGAGCTGTCTGGGAGGGAATCACAGTCAGTTATGGAGACTGCCAGGGATTCCGAGTGGGATCCGGGCAGGGTGGAGTTCACAGGGATTCCTGACTGCCACCTCTCCTTGCCCTTCCCCGCGCAACACCTGTTCTCAGTTTCCAGTTTTTACTTTATTTTCTCCCCCTCTGCTAGCAGAGTTGGGGCGGACACCAGGCTGAAGGGACCTGTTCGCGGAGGGAAGGAGCCGGAGAAGGAGACGCGGGAAGGCAGAGGTCGGGGAGGCGCAGCGCGCGGAGACTCACCGGTCCTGGTAGCCCGGAGAAGTTCTGGCAGCAACAGCAAAAGCAGAGCCTGGATGTGCAGGACGCCGGCCGGGATCGAAGCGGGGGCCATGGGTCTCTGTGGGTTTAAGGAGAGCAGGGACTCTGGAGGAAAAGTCCTGAAAGTGAGGATGGGACTCCCTCCCTGCGCCTCCCCAAAGTTTTGGCTGATTTTCTACTTTGGGGTCTCAGACGGGTTTTCACCGTCAGCTTTCCTAGCCCCGCAGGGTCCCACGGATTCCCCCGGGATCGCGCCCTGGGCGGACCTCGCAGGTCCCAGAGTCATCACCCATCTCCAGCGGCGGAGTGGCCCTGGCGTGGGCGCCACTGAGGCTTCGGTTCCCCCTCTCCTGACCCGGCGCTACCGCGCACTCTGTTACCAGCAGGCGGATTTCTCTGCAGCAGCCGGTTTCAGCTCAGATTCCAGAGCAAATGGGGTGTGCTGGCGTGCGCGCTCTTATATACAGGCCGCCTCCCTCTCTCGCGTTCCTCCTACCTCCGAAGCTCCGCCTTAGGCGTCGGTCATGGGCCGGTTACAAGGCTTTGATTGGTTCTGCACAGCGCCTGATTAAGGAGAATAAGGAGGGAGTCCTAGGTCTGTGACATGGAAGATCCCGTGTAGTGCTAAAATCGGAATAACTCCGTTCTAAGACAGAAAGCCATCTCATGTAAGATGTGACTCCTAGGTAAACTGCGGGAATTCGCTTAGCAAAAGATAAAGGCAAGGCCAGATGGCTGGAAAAGGGGGCCATAAAACTGCGGGAATTCGAATTCGCTTGGAAAAGAGTTTGATACTGAGGACCCTATGATAGGGAAAACCTTAA